TTACAACAGCAGCATTATGCGGGCAAGTTAGTCTAAATTAGTTTTAAAATAGCTAACAACGTCACTTTCCTTTCACTTAAGGAAACATAAGTAAAGTTAAGCAATTAACAGTTATTGACACCTACTCACAATCTCTGACAATGAAAATATCTGGCCGCTACTTTCTGTTGAACTGCGGATAAACGTTGCTAACAAGCGGGAACATATACCTTCAGCCTAGGTCCTAATGCCCGCCCGCTACCTATAGCAGCTTAAGGTTAGGGTTAGCCTAATTAACAGTTACGGAATGTTTGCTTAGCAAATGTGGTTAGGGTTAGCCTATTGAATAAATCAGAAATTATACTTAGCAAATCTGGCCATAACAACTCTGTAACTTCGCTTAAACAGCCAGTACATAATTTTAATTAAATAATGATAGCTAGACTTAAAGTATTATTTTTAATTTCAATTCCTTGAATTGCTTTTATTTGTTAAGTGCGTACCTGCGCTCAGTGATATCTTGTATGAAATGTATGGATATATCATTTTAAAATAGTATGATAATTACTATTTTATTTGGGGGGCTTGGGATCATTTTGGGGGAGCTGAAGCCCACCCTAAATAGGCCTAATGACGCCTATGGTTAATCCCAAATTGTATCTGCTGCACATTTCCAAATGAATCGCATCCTGAACTTTTATGCAGACATCCAAAAAGACTTATCTAAGAAAACTGTTTCATGATAATTTGTACCATCATCGGGGGTGGGGGCGTGCAGTAGATGTCCCCTTAATTTTTTATGCCTTTGCCCTTCAAACCGAGCAGGACTAAGTTTGTAACAGCAGTTGACGCCAAGTCTCCTGATGAGCTGCTTCAGACAGAACCGTTCTCAATTCACCACTAGGGGGTGCCAATGCTGCGGCTTCATTCTATGGTTGATCCTTTTCAAAGACGGTTTTTTCCCTCATAATCTTAACAAATGGGAACGCAGCGCATTCGCACCGCAGCGGATACGCATCCAGTGTAAATCAGGGGTTACACTGGATGCGTATCCGCTGCGGTGCGAATGCGCTGCGTTCCCATTCCGTCCGAGGCCGTCCGCCAATTCACACTGGATGCGTTTGTGGTCCGTATCTGATCCGGCGCGCAGCTGGTTTGCGAGATCACATAACCACGGGAGAATAACATTTAACATAACATGTATCTATGTTTCTATGGATAAAATAATGTGTCACTCCCATATAGGTTACTGAACACTTTATTAGGAGTTTACAAGTACTTCACAGTACAGGTTACTTTCATTAAAAATCAAGTATATACATAGTTAATTGGAAGGTTCAACTTATCGTCAAATCCCAAAACTTCTGAAGTTTCACTCCACGCCTTCTCCCTTCTACTATTATCCTTGTAAAAAGGATGTCTGGGGTCGTACACAATTCCGTGTTTCTCCACCTCCAAAATTAATTTTTCCTAGTCCATGATGTGACGGAGAATTGGCGCATGCGCTCTGTGTTGCGTTCTTGATCCGTATCCGTCAAAAACATCTCGACAGACTGCCGGACGCGTGACGGAACAGAGACGTAGCGGAGACGCAACGCAGCGGATCTGGTGTAAACTGATGCATTGACTTTATTGGCGGCGATTGCCTGCGGCTGCCGTGTCGGAAACGCACCGCAGCGGATACGCATCCAGTGTAAATCAGGGGTAATAAGTCTCCTGCTAAGCTGCTTCAGACAGAACTATTTTCAATTCGCCACTAGGGGGTGCCAATGCTGCGGCTTCATTCAATGGTTGATCTTTTTGAAAGAGTTTTTTTCTCTCACCACATAATATTAACAAATGACAACTTAATTGAATAATGTACTTTCATAGTGATTGTTTTAATTCATGCTAATCTTATGAACAATAACTAGTAATTGTTATATGAGGGTGTCCCATTTACAATGGTAACAAACATATAAATCATGGATGTTAAGATGTTAAATGGATGTTAGACACCATATATTTTCTGCTAACAGATGTCAGTCATATTCGCTTTTATGTCTAAGATGTTGTCATTGGTGTACCATTAAATATTTTGTTTGACATGCATGTTAATCTCTATAAAGCATATTACACATGGTATTCCCCGGACCCCACTACCACAGCAGATGCTTTTCTTGTTAAGACATTAACTAAAAAACGGTTGATGGATCTTTTTCTAATTTTAGAAAAGCATTGTACGTACAAACTAAAACTAATTCAATTCTGAAACATATCACCCCAAAATTGAAGCAGCAATGGCCATATATTAATGGCAAAGAAAAGGGCAGAAACATTATGTGGATGAAGAAGCAAATAGCTCGTAGGTTAAACTTCACACATAATTTCATAAGAAACTACACCAATACGCCAAAACAACAGCCCACGTCCTTTGTCCCGGCGGTTTAAGGCATATATCACATTACAAACAACCAGTAGTAAGTAAAGCATTACTTTCATGTAATTGTCAGGATCGGTGCATGTCCTGTGCCTTCAGTATGTCTGTTCCCTATTTGGCCAGCAGGTGTCGCTTGCCATCCCATGTCCTTCACTCCTAGTGTTTCCTGTTCCCCTGGCTGCTGTGTGACTTAACGGGCTTGGCGGTCGGCCATCCTCCAGACTCCCCTTTTGTTGTGGATTCGAGGCTGGTCAGAAACCAGCTTCTAGTTGTAATTTCACATGTATTTTGTGGTTTTTCATGGCTTATAATGTGTTTTTGTATTTCAGTTACAGTCCCTTGTTCTTGCTCCATTTGTAGTATGTTCAGTTGCTTGTTTTACTTTCCCTTAGTTTTTGAAGCTTCTACTGTATATCTATTACTTGACCTCACCTACTCATTATTACCCCTAGTCTCTTGTCTGTAACAACCCACACCTGCCCCTGTTCTGAATTAAAAATCTGTGTGACCTGGATTGTATGACTTGTTTTTGGCCATCGCTTTAAAGCTCCTGATCACCATGACTGATCTGCATCTCAGTCCTTTTTCCCGCACCCCATCCTCACAATTAGCTGATTATAATACTTGTAAGATTTCAACTAAGTATTACAGTAAGTTGCATTTCAGATGGCAGTGGTCACATTGATAAATGGCTGGTTAGCCAAGTGTGTTTACAGTTTGTCTCAGTCTCTTTGGTTCATTTCTCAGATCAATAAACTACTTGTCCATCCTTTACATCATCAAGTTATTTGTGCACATCATAAATGCAAAGTCTCATTCTTTTGGATAAATTACAAATGCTTTGGCACATTCATGGTTATGTACAACTGTCTACTGTTTCTGACATTATCTGTTGCTTATATCATGTTGATCAAAATGTATTATTCTGGTTCTCTGTTGAATAACTAGCCATCAGTTCCTTGCATAAATCATTATGTGCAAAATGGTTGAACCGCTTCTCATAATCCATCAAGCATATTTTCTATAGATTTCTGTTAATTTAATAATTATTGACTTATTTTGTAAATGTGTCCTGAATTTATTGCTCTTGGGTGAATCTTAACTTTCACCAATGAGGGGAATGTTTGAAATGTTAAATCAACCAATGATCCACCAGGTCTCTAATATACGTCAGAGGTGCATCATATGAACCTTCAATTGTCAAGGATATATATTAATATGATACAACACAGTGTTACAGTTTTTGACAATGGAAGAACATCATGGACCCCTAGTCCCCATTTCTCAAGGCAATTCAGGGGCTCTACTCAGCATGGAGGTGGAAGGCGTACGATGGCCAGCCACATACTCAGATGACCCTGCTGGCTGACATGGATGCAGCATGTAAGGAAATCATAACAGACGCCTGTAGAGGCAGATAAGACATTACAAAGGATTCTTTCTGCGCTGCTTTGCAAGGGGAAATATCCATTGTGATGTGGATGAGAATCTGTGGCCCGACTGACAGGAATGTCAGGAGGTGTAGAAAGACTGCACTGTAATTCCCCATAAAGCGCTGCATGTACAGTTCTGCCGAAGTGCTGATTCCTACATTTACATTTCTAGTTTTGTATTTTTTTTCCTTTATTTTATGCAGTGCTGTAAATCAGTCTTATCTTTTTGTTTTCTGAATCGTAATGACATGGTTTGTCAAGAAATTACAGTATAAACAGTAATGTGTAACCTCCGGACATTAATTGACTGTTGAAATTGATATATGCCATACAGAAAAAAGTATTTTCAGTCATTAGCATCAAAACCATTAGCCTTAACTTACTTTTGGAAATACCTGCAGAGTACACTGTTATATTGAAAGCATGACTAAGCAATTTGACTATCTTATTCGTGAACAATGAAACAAGGACTTGATGGCACTGACATGTTCATTGACATAAATATTTACTTTTGAGAGATACTGTAATCTATGGCTTTTTTGCAGGCAGTCCATTTGTGTGGTGCTGTTTGTACGAATTGTTTTGAGAAATGCACTTACAGTTTTGCAGATGTTAAGGGTGATTCCAGAAATGTACCAAAGCAACTGAGAAAAACTGTAATGTTGCTAGAGAGTGGCAAATAAACTGATTCACCATTTACTCTCATGTACAGCACTTAAAATGCTTGCTCTAAATGCAAATGTGTAAATGTAAGCAGTAAAGCTACAATTTAAACTCTGCATGGTGGAAAGAACACAAACTCTCTTTTGAGTGTGATTAGAAGATCTAATGCTTTGGAAAACTTAACAACTGTATTATATGAGACTGTCTAATATTAGATTGATAACAAAAGACTGAGACTGTGCTGAGCTTGTCTGACAGAGATGATTAGCAAATGCCCTCCCACAGTGTCTCAGCACTCCGTACAAAGAACTTCATATGCTCAGTATCTGTTCCTCTTTATGTAATTGTACTAATTTTAACTGGCAGTTAAGGAGTAAATTAATACTGTAAGTGTAGGTTAGAATGCCTTTTCACTATTACTTAAATTCCTGTCTGACCAGCCAATCAGATCAGCCTGATGTGTATCTTGTACCTCTCTGTTTCCTGCCCTTTCATTCCGACCACGACCATGACCTCTCACTTAGCAGCAGAGCAGTTTATTCTAAACAAGTGGAACCACAAAGATGATCAGACTCTTTGGTCTTCTCATTTTCATTAGTAGGGTCCTAAATTGTAAATTATTTTTTGATTTTAATATTTTCATATATCTGTATGATGTGATCAGTGGAATAAGTATTTGGCCATTTAATCTTCATCATAGTTAATAGTTATTTTGCTTACTGTTATGATGTATGTCACGTTCATTTGTGTTTTTCTGTTTTTCCAGACACTGCACTGGCTGTGGATGTTGTTCAGCCCAGTCTCCTGATGAGGGTTCAGCTTGGAGACAGTGTGACCCTGACATGCTTCTGTCCAGAAGAAACAACTTTTGTTGCTTGGTTGAAGCAAGCTGTAGGTCAGAAGCCCCAGCTCATGGCGAAGGCAGTTAACTTTTTGCCTGGTGAATTTTGCAAGGAATATAAAAACATAAAACGTTACTCCTTACGGAATGCAAAGGGGAGTTTTAACCTCACTATTTCCAATGCGGAGCCGTCAGATTCTGCAGTGTATTATTGTGCTGCTGTGTTTCTTCATGAGGTCACCTTTGGGAATGGAACCTTTGTCATAATCACAGGTAAATGAGATTCCAGGTATTTTCATATTTGCTTTATTATACTGTCAGTAAGATTATTCCCTGTAAAATATTTTTGACAGTTGAGTTGTGTGATATTAAATTAGCAAAGATACCTGATTGTCTGCTTTGCTCCATTAATGTTTTTTTAAGCAACATTAAACAAAAATCATATATTATTATTATTATTATTATTATTATTATTATACAGTTTGTTACATTTTGCTTGCTGTCAGTAATCTTCAGCCAAAAGCCTAACCTTCTCTTTATACAGATGTTAATGTTACACATTGCAGCCTCTTTAAAACAAATGTAATAAAAAATGTTTGAGTTGAATTATTTTTAACATTATTTGTCTCAGCAAACAGTGTATATTTGCTCAGAAAAGAACATGATTTAACATAAGAATCAGGGATGTGCACCATTCAGAAATGAATTGAGAATGGCCCTTAAATTTCAGTTCATTTTGTTAATCTCAATTAAATTTGAATTGTGGTTGAAAACAGCATGTGGCATTGCAATTCATATTTGAATTTAAGGAAGTAGAATGAAAAATGATTTGGATTCAAATAAGTTCATATATGTACTGTAGATGTAGCTTTTAACTATACAGTCTATCATTTAAATATGAATTACATATAAACACATTAACATTTTATGTATCATTGTTATAAAAATGTCATCTTATTCAGAATGAAAAAATGCAACATTTGAAGTGTCACCTAAAATAATAATTGAACTGTCATTTTGTGTACCATGGTGGAAAAGCTGAGTGTCTCTCCTCAAACGTTAGTGTTGGCTGCAGTGACTGCAGTTTCTAACCTAAGAAACGTCCCAAATTCTTTTACTGCTTCAAAAGTCAAACTGGTCCCTATTCCTGTCATGAAAGCTTCACATAATGTCAGTGTTACCTGAGCCAACCATGTTTATCAGAGGATGCCAACCCTTTGGCTGCAGCTTCCTCTGCACATGCTGAGAGAGTCTTCAGTGTAGCAGGAAAAGATTTCAGGCCAGAACATTGCAAATTAAATTGTAAATCCTTTGCAGATATTATGCTGACTAAATAAAATAATAATGAAAAATTAGACGTTTATTGGAATAAAGCATAATTGCATTTGCCATGACATTTTGCTTTTTTGCCGTAGTGCTGTGGTGGAACGGAAAAACTTACTTTTCTACGCATAAGAAAATAAATAGGAGCAACTACATGAAACCAAGTAATTCCTTTTAAATTCCTTTTACTATGTATACTTCTTATTTAGTGTTAAAAAAAGAGACAAACTGTTAATCAGCAAACAGTAACAAGTAAAGATAATACATTTAGCTCGTGAATCAAATCATGCAGGTACTACAGCAGAATCCTCAAAAATACTAACCCACATCAATAGCTAAATCTGCAAAAACAATAAATACCTTCCTGTGGAAAACGGGCAACTTATTCCAAATGGATATTGATAAAATATAATTATGCAAATACAATGTACACTTTACACACAATTTTTTTTAAGTGAAAAGGATTAAATTATTCATCTTCCAATTCATGAATGCAATGAGGCACAATTTATAATTTCTGAATTTCGCACAATCCTGATAAGAATATATACCAATAAAGAGTAATACAATAAAAAAAGATAGAATTATTATTTTTCTCCAAGAAACTGGTGATTTTTTGGATTACTACAGGAACACCACTTTGGGTGCCAAACCTCTCCAAAATCAATAAGAATAATCTTTGAGGATCTGTATTTTCCAATTTTTCGCTCAAAGGGCTGTCATCATAAACATTTTGCTTTTCAGGTAAAGACTCCAACAGCAGGACTGTGGTACAGCAGCCTGTGTCTGACACAGTGCAGGCAGGAGACTCTGTGAACCTGCAGTGTACAATAGAGACTGGGAGCTGTGCAGGAGAACACAGTGTTTACTGGTTCAGACATGGATCAGGAGAATCCCTTCCAGGAGTCATTTACAGCCACGGAAACAGGAGTGATGAGTGTGAGAAGAGCCCTGAGGCTGGATCTCCTACACAGAGCTGTGTCTACAGCCTCCCCAAGAGGAACCTCAGCCTCTCTGATGCTGGGACTTACTACTGCGCTGTGGCCATGTGTGGGGAGATGCTGTTTGGGAACGGCACACAGCTGGATATAGATGGTAACACCCAGTGTGGAGAGTATATCTGCATCCTCAAACTTTTATTTTGCTTATTCTGCTATTCAGACATTTATTTCTTATTTGAATGTAATGAATTTTCAAATTCACGTTCATTTTCAATAATTATTAATTTAATAATTATTGAAAATATTACTTAATACAAATTGTTAAAATACCGAACGTTCATGTCAAAAATTGACTACAGTACTTACAAAACAACTGCTGCAATTTCTTATAAATTTTATCTTTAAATAATGTGACTTAACCAAATGGGAAATGTGTCTCTATATCATTATGCTGAAATCTATTTCTTTGTTATAGGCTATCAGAAGCTGCTGGATCCTCTTCACTCTGGCTTGCTGATAGTTTTATCTTGCAGCATTATTCTGAACGTTGCCCTCATTTGTATAAGATGTAAAATGACCTGTACACACTGCGCAGGTACGCTGCCCGGCTTTATGCTCTCAGAAGAAGGACAAAAAAAATTGTTCAAATGACTGATTTGCTTATAACAAAACAGAATTAATACTACATAAATTTTCGCATTAAAACCACTCTTGTGGGAAACACAATATCCCTTATTAAAATCCTGCCTAATTTATTTACATATCTTTAGTATTTTGCAAAATATACTGAGATATACAACACATGTTGCAGTAAGTTGCATATCAATAACATTTATTAGTCTGCCTGGCCCTCCTGTCCCCTCCCCAGTGTGGCCCTAATGAGCCACTCCTGTTGCTCGTTGTCCCCTCGTTAGTCGTTGTATATGTCTGTCACTGTGCCTGTCACTGTGTCTGTCACTGTGCTCATCTTCCCAGATCTCTCTCTGACCCTGGGCCTTTCCCCTGCTTGTTCCCTGTTCTCCTGTTTGCATCCCTCATGGTCGCGGTTTGTTTTCCCCATAACTGTTAATGTTTTGCCTAATAAAGCCCCTCTCCGTTCACCTTACGCCAGCCCACAAGTCCTTCCTTTCCTTGTTGTGACACTTCAAATCTCTTCAAATCTTCTTTATAGCAATTCTACTATATGTAATATATCATAACAAACAACACATATCTAAACATGCACACTGAAATTGATAGAAATCATTTTTAGGTTGATTTTGTGACAAAAAGGACTGTAAATTCCCTCCAAATTTAGGAATGTTACCCAACCACTGAATTATGAATTATATTGTGTGCAAAATATATATGTTGATGTATTATATATTTTAAACAGATCAGAAAAACAGTGATGCATCGAAAGTGGAATGGTCACATAAGCAGGTATGTAATAAATATTTCAAACAATTAATTACCAGTAACAAAAAAAAACTTAAAATGATTTCCATCCTGGGATCAGCATTTTAAGTGCTATATGTGCATATAAGTAAAACTGATTTTTATCCATCCTATTCTGCCATCTTTGTCTCCACAGAGCCATGACGAGGACACACTGAATTACGCTGCCCTGAACCTTAAGAACCCAAAACCCAGGAGACAGAAGAAAGACGGGAATAATGACACTCTGTATTCTGACCTCCGCTACAGAGATTATGAATAAAAATGCTTCTCATTCATGTTAGTTATACAGAGTGTTCAGGGTGTAGCTTTAATAAGGTTCAGAAGGAGAGCAGGAGAGCCAGTGCTTCTGAGACTGGATGACGGAATTTTACGGAGCACCAGTGCTGAGTTTGGTGTCAGTGTGTTTGGGGTGCATTTTTACTGGAAATACAAGTGTTCAGGCCAGACTAGGAGCTGAGGGAGGGGGAGAGGGGAGCCACAGAGATTATTTCTTCATGACATGGCGGGAATAAATTAATGTTGCGAAAAGGCTGAGTTGCTGCAATCAGTTCTTTGAAGTCACACATGCTTACTTGTCTCCCTTGTATACCATGGTGAATGGTTTGGGACAAACACACAGGGACAGATTGATGATATTAAACAGACTAAAGAAATTGAATGAAAATTATAAGTGTTCTTAAATTAATTTTTCATTTAATTATGTACTGTATATTTTTTTGGAGTAAATGCCTGTATCATTAATAATGATGTACAGTAGATGTTTTCTTTTGCTTTGCTTTGTGCGGCATGGTGATACAGTGCTTAGTGCTGCTGCCTCACAGTCAGAAGGTCCTGGGTTAGAACTCGGGGTTTGCACACTGTCCCTGTGTTTGTGTGTGGTTCTGCCGGGGGCTCCAGTTTTCTCCCACAGTCCAAAAGTGTGTGCAATAGGTTAATCGGTGAATCCAAGTTGGCCCTGTGAGTGCTTGTTCCTGCCTGCGCTCCTTGTTCCTGTGACAGGCTCTGGTCCCCCCTGTGACCTCATTTGGGATTAAGTGGTGATGGAGTTTTGTTGTCCTTTTATTTTGGACAAATTTTTTACAAAAGTACTTATCTGCTTGCATTTTACTGATGTGCAATATTACCTTCCATCTTATCTGATACCTACTATAACGTTATAAAGTGGATCGGATAGAATTAGAAATTACCCACACTGTGGATAATTCAGGGACAGAAATGCAGCTAATCTCCCTTTGCTAGGACTGTGGGTGGAAACAGGAGCACGGAGAGGAGCCTTACACAAACATAGGGGGAACATGAGAATTACACCCCCAAGCAGGGAGGTGTGAGATCACAGTTCTGTCCAACGAGCCACTGTGTGACCCGTGTTGGAAAAATTTCTGAAGGTTGTGAATGTGCCAATCCTGTTTTGATTAAGTTTACGGTTTGTAAGGGAAGAAATTAGACTAACAGAAACCATACTTCAGTTTGATTACAACATCCACTTTACAAAATATACCATCCATCCATCTTCCAGCCTCTTATCATGCCCAGGGTGGGGGGGCTGAGCCTGTCCAAGTCTGCACAGGGCACAAGGCCGGGCTCCACACAGGTAGGTTGGGGGTGCCAGTGTTTCACAGGGCGCGCATGTACACACAGTCACTGACATAAGAGTGACTACCTACTCAGCCACTGTGCTGCCCCCACAATAAGCATAATTCCCATTACTGTTCATTTAACAAGACTGCTTACTCTACAGTCTGTTTCCAACATACAATTCAAAAGCAGGGCTGGACAGTAATGAAGTACATTTACCTGAGTATTGTACTTAAGCACATTTTGCAAGGATCTCTGCTGTACTTGAATATCATTTTTTTTTAGAAACCTGTCACTTTTACTTCACTACATTTGAAAGACAAATATTGTAGTTTTTACTCCACTATATTTCCATGAAGGTTATTCTGACTCATTACTTTGAAGCACAGCTTTGATGATAGAGGACAAATTTTCTTTTCTAAAATGTGACAGAGCATATTGTGTTCGTCACAGAAGAAAAACCAATCACAGTAAACTACTCCTGCACTGCCAGTCAAGATGCTGGTGGGCAGTAATAAAGCTAGAGGTGTGTAACTGCGTTGGTCGTTCTGTTTATTTATTTTATTTCCTGAGGAAGTTGCATCTACAGCAATTCCACTATCTGACTGATGCATGCATGCTCTCTCTCTCTCTCTGTCTCACACACACACACACAGGTTTGTAATTACATCTTTGTGGGGACTCTCCATTCATTTCTGTGGGGAAAACTCTAATCACAATATGACCACCTTAACCCCTATCCAGCCCTAAATTTAACCATAAGTAACTATACAAAATATGAGACTTTTTTACATTTTTGATTACATTCACAGATCATTGTGGGAATCTGAAAAATTGTACATTTGGTCCCCACAATGTAATATGAATATAACACACACACACACACACACACACACACACACACACACACACTGCTAGAGCTGTGTAAGAACACTACCATGCGCTTTTGTGAGGGTGGGGTGCGGGATGTTAAATAATAAGATGAAAACGACAAGGGCTCTACTTTTGTTGAGTCAGTTGTGTTTTTATAGTCATTGTGTCATATTCCACAAGCTTATTATTCTACAGGATCTACAAGTCAGTCAGTGCATTCAGGAGGGTGTTCAGGAGTCATTAGGTTTGGAAAAATGTGTTGCATTAAAAACTTTCACTTGAAATTGACAAGGAGTATCTATACTTAACTCAAGTAATGAAGTTGTGTACTTTGTCCACCACTATTCAAAACTGACATATAGGTGTAAACTGTTTTCATTTGTTTGTCTGCTGAGTGCTTCTCTGCAGTGCTGCATATGTTTCCACTGGTTAGACGCAGCACAGGAAGACTGACCCACTGACTGCACTGTGCTGGGCTCACTTTTGCAGAGAGTAAAAACCACACAGAGAGAACAATACCTACTTCATGTAAGACCCTGTTTCCTCTCTACCTTACCCAGATCATGCCTAAGAAGTAGTTGAAGTACATGGAACAGAATGTACAGCTTTCACAACAGAACTTTGGAAAAGCAAAATTATCATCAGCCCACATCTCTAACCACCACACATCCTAGGGTTCCCATTTATTAGGGTACATTTTTGTTTTATTCACATTCTTTTTATTCACACTGAAAAATTCCATCCATGAATCTTCCAGCATGTTTCCTGGTCAGAGTGACGGGGACGACATCTAAAATATCAAGTGTGATTTAAGGCCAAGACCTTGAAGGGGAGAGTCACAGTCAAGACTGAGGCTTGCTACAGCAGCAGTGGGGCACAACACAACAAACAACATCATTCTGAATGTAAAAGAAATGTATGTATATATATATATATATATATACA